AGAAAAAGTCGGGAAAAATATATTGTAAATTGGGTTGGCGGGAGAGCGGTCGAAAATCGGGAGTCTCCCTGCCTAAATTGGGAGAGTTCGCAACTCTGTAATCTGATAATCGAGAACAGCTGTATTTCATATGAGACAAGGATTCTGGCAGTTCAAGATGATGCGGTTTGGGTTATGTAATGCGCTGGTAACATTAGACAGCCGCATGGAGATCGTGATGAGATATTCTTCCAATGAAGCCTGTCTGATATACCTGAACATCATCATCATCATCGGTAAAACTTTTAAAGAATATTTGGAAAATATCAGGAAAGCATTTCAGAAATTGAATGAAACCAATCTAAAGTTAAGTCCTGGTAAATGTACACTGTTCAGACATGAACTTACCTTGGACAAGTCATCTGAGCCAAATGTGTGTGTATGAATCCAGAAAAACTGTTAACAGTTAAAGATTGAAGATGCCCCAAAACATCCATTAGCTGAGAAGTTTCCTAGGACTTACTATAGCAAACTGCCTAGCATTTACTATAGGAGATTTGTGAAAGGCTTTTCTTCTATTGCAAGACCCCTTCACAAGCAGACAGATAACAAGCAAAAGTTCTTGGGGAGAAAAGAATGTGAAGATGCATTTAACACACTAAAGGAAGCTTAACACATGCAACGATCTTCATGTATCCCTAGCTCGTTATTAAAACATTTATTCTCTACATGGATGCAAGCAATGAAAGTGTTGGTGCTGTTTTGCACCAAAAAATAAACAGTCAAGAACATGTTTTGGCATACTGGAGAAAGTGTCTGCCAGATTGGAGAAGAATTACAGTGTCTTCAAAAAAGAGTTACTTGCCATAGTTAAAGCTGTAGAACATTTCAATCATTATCTCTAAGACAGATAATTCCTGCTCTGCACAGATCATGCATCGTTGACCTGGTTATTAAATTTCAAGAGCTCCGAAGGCCAAATACCCAGGTGCATGCAGACGCTCCAGGAATATGACATAATTATCCATCATCGGAAGGGATCTTCACATGGAAATGCCGATGCCCTGTCTAGAACACCCTGCCCAGAAAGCTGCCAATATTATTTCAGGATTGAAGCGAAATAAGAGCTGCTGAATCCGGTCACACGACAAGGTAAGAACTTCAGCATCAGCTGATTGGTACCCATGGAGGGATGAAGAAGTCAGGAAAGATCAGTTGGAAGACAATGACATTAAGCCCATAACTGATCTAATGGAATCTCTTCAAAAAGGAAAACCAACTGGCAGGACATTTCGACCTTTAGTCATACAACTAAACAATATTGGGCTCTGATTCCAAATTCGAAATGGCGTCTCGTACCGGAAGTTCGAATTGGATAATGAAAAGACATTCCGATGGCAGCTGACACTTCCAGAACTACATAGCAATCTGACAGAAGACCACTTCGGAATAATGAAGACATTGTATGATGTATCCTCAACTCAATACACCATTTATTCTTGACACAGATGCAAGCAATGAGAGTGTCAGTGCTGTTTTGTCCCACGAGAGAAAAAAAAAGGGTCAAGAACGTGTCGTGGCATACTGGAGCAATGGTCTATGTAAAAAGGAGAGAAACTATTGTCACTAGGAAAGGTCACTAGGAATTTTGTATATATGTAAATAATTGCAGTGAAATTATATGTGAAATTTTAGCATTTTTTGTATAATGTAACATGAAATGTTTAAAGGTGGCTTAGCTCTGCTGGAAAAGTAAGATTACAGGGGCAAGTCTATTCAGCACTGGATAAATCGCTGCCTTGCTAAATTGCTGAGATATCGGCATTTTGGCGATGGTTTTGGAAACTAATTTTTATCATCACACTTGGCAACATTTTGGTCTAGTCCCTTCTAATTATAATTGGTATTGTTATTAAATAATTGTAATTGATACCTTATGTGTAACTATATCCATCCCTCATATGTCTTCCAGTAATTTTAAGAAGTGGAGGATATTAGAAATTTCTTGACAGCCAAGAGAAAACTATGTAAGACAAGGGAGCGCATCAGAATCTCAGTTTTTAGTTTAGAGTTAACTTTAGAGTACTGATACTATTTTGAGCTTCACCGTGCTTTGCATGGTGCTGTGTTTAACTACTGATTTTACTCAGTTATACTGAGAAGAGCTGTATGAGTGTATGAACTTCTAAGTGTTTCTTTTGTTAAAATAAATTTTATCAAGCCATCATAGGTTATGTGTGCATTCAATCTGTTACGAACCTATATGTATGCAACACAGCACAGAATACTAGCAGAAAATTCATAAATATGTTAAATAAAATTATTATGAATTATACAAGATAAAAAAATAGCATACTTAACGTCTTCGGAATCTTTCTTTAAAGTAACTTCTTCATCATCCTGATCAGCTTTTACCAAAATAACCTCCTCAGGCTCTACGAAAGAAAGAAAGATGTTTTAATATGCAAGTTTCTGTCTGAAACGATTTGGTGCAGAAAACTAGATGAAAAAATTCAAAGCACATTTAGTAATCCTTTGGTCACAGTATTAAAGATTAAAGCACCTGCAAGAACTTTTTTTTTATCATGTCTTTTAATCACATACATCTTTTACCATTTTACATTAAAGGTGAATTCTGGATTTATGAAGGAAAAAAGAGGCCAACTTGCAATTCCCAATAAGACAAAAATCAAAGGTCACAGTAAACAACTATTAACTAACAATAAACATGACTGCTTGGTACAATGTCAAAAACAGAAATACATTATATCTTGGCAGCATTTCAATATTGAATTGTTACACATTACTACCGTATGCACTGCTTACTGTAGTAATATGTAACAATACTGTACTGCTTACTGTAGTAATGTGCAACAATACTGTACTGCTTACTGTATAATATGTAACAATACTCTACTGCTTACTGTAGTGATTGCATTTGTCTATGGCTATTTTGAAAACATTATATAATGATATCACTGATATGACCAAATGTTACATCAAATATTACACCATCAAGTTAATAGAGATATATCCTTCAAAATACCAATAGAATTTAACCTCAGAATATCAGTGGCCTTAATTTAATATTAAATTTTAATCAAACACTCTTTTCATGAACATGATGTTCTTTTGTTGCTGTAATAGTTCCTTATCATGGCTGCAATATTTTCTGGCACACATGAAGACACTTGGGGGGGGGACATTTATGTCCATTTTCTGTGATAATGTCATCTAGCTGGCAACAGGACTAGCTTTTACATTATGAATCACTTCAGGAGAAAAAGTATTCAAGTGGGCAACTAAAAACAAGGAAAGCTTTTGCTTACTGGGGGAAAACACATCTTATGCGCATGCCAAGAGGGAAGAAGCATTTATAAACAACTTCCTTTATCAGACTTATTCAAATTTGTCTTTGTCTCCTGTAATGACGATCTGTCGGTTTTGTCCATCAGTTCTTCAGTTGTGCTTCAAACACAGAATGTAAAAATTTCAGTGAAGGCTCCAATTCAGTGGCTGAATTTTCAGTGAGAAATGTGCCAAGAAGAATGAAACAGAGAGAATGTGTTTTGCTATGAAAGTTTTAATCACAACCATACATGAGTAACCACACCTGACTGCAAATGCAAAATTTTTCAATACTTTTTTTTAAAATCTGTGACTGTGAAAAACATCGAATTCTCAAAGCTTTTAACGATACTGGGAATTATAATATCCAAAAACCTTATATTGGCAGTCTTATAATCCTTTGCCTGTGATATGTTGACATTTTCACTTAGGTTATGAGCGATCTTCACATACTGTGTCTTATTTTTATCAAGCACACTGTTTCCAAAATAGGCAATATAAGGATCTACAAGTTTGTATAAACACCTTTCCTTCATTCCATGGCATTACGAAAAATCTGGTTGAAGATCTGGACATTGAAGGTAAAGCACCAGTACACTGCACAGGACAACATACAATGGAAAGCATGCAATTCCTGAGGAAGTTATATCGAAAACAATCGAGTTTATTAGGTCCCTCAAGGAAAGAGAGTTGCAGTATTACTCGAAAAACAATAGCCAAATATACCTGCCAGAAAAGTTAAACATCACAAAATTACATGACATGTACAAAACGTAAGTGTAGTATCATAATTTCAGAGATATTTTTAATTCTAAGTTCAAAACTGAATTCAGATACCTGAGAAAAGACACTTGTAATCTTGTGATACATTAAAAATAGAGACTGATATGCTTGCCAAAAAACAGGAAAAACTTGCTGAAGGACAAGAAACAGCAAAACTGATTAGATGACTGAAAAATAAAATGATGGAAAAAAGAACTTCATTTGAAGATAAGCCAATTATGATAGCAAAAAAGCTTTGCATTTCCAAGATTAATAGAAGAAACTGAGGAAAAGTTTTAGACACATTGAAAAAATTGAAAATTCTTCTTGCTCCTCTTCTGTATATTTTATTTTTGCTTATATAACAAATTTGGATAAATAAAGGTTAAAATTTTATTATGAGTTTTCTGTCATTTTCTTTCGCAGTGAGGTTCTCCAAATTAAAAATTCATTTTTTTAGAATTCCTATCAGAGAACATTAATGGTTCTTTCTTCTCGGGTTTTCATGTAAATTTCAATATGTTTAAAAGCAACATACACATTACTGTATACACTCATGTAATGTCCACACTTTTTTTTACAACTAAAATTACATCACAAAAATGCCCAGGTGCGGACATTAACGGGTTGTTCAAATGTCGCGTTCTTTCTCGTGAGTAATTTTGGGTATAAATTTCATTTCATACAGCCAAGTTCAGTTCTGAGTAGAAGAAAATGGCATAATTAAAAGTATAAAATTTAAAGTTGTCTAATAGCTATTTACAAATTTACTTTCTCCCATCCACATATCTAATATAAATTACCCCGTTTATGTTATGAATACTCAGCACATTAGTTTGCACAGGAGCACAATATAGAGGCACAAATTAACCAAAACTTGCAGTTTTAATATTTACGTTTACACAAATTAAATAAACGTTGGTTCTTTTAATATCTCGCACACATTATTTTTAAAAAAATCTGTTCTGACGCACTGTATGAAAATGCATTTCGTTTCATCATTTGCCATAACCAGCCTTCACTTGCCTTGAATTGCAATGTAAGAATGTCTTCTTCTCGTGCCTCAGCAAGCATTTTCTCTTATTTGGCACATTTCCCATGTTACTCCATGCCCTTAAGCATGTATATCATGAACATATGCAACTAAAGAGAAAAAGGCGATGTTAAAAAACTCTTTAGTTTTTGGGGTGCGGACATTGTGCGGGTAACTTTTTTTTAACATAAATTTTATCTGTAAAGTTGGGGTGTGGACATTACACGAGTGTATATGGAATTACAGTTGTCAATAAGAAGAAGCATATCACTCTTCAGTTCATTATCTCATTTCAAAAGTTATTCATTAAAAATTAATGATATCATAGATGCCTTTGAATTATAATTCACTTGTAACTCTTTACTCCTTTAAAGCATCTTAATTCCTTACTTAGGAGTTTCAGTGAATTAGCAAATGTTATACTCATTTTTGATTTGATCATATTTGGTGAATTTATCTCTTATTTAGCAACTGTTTAGTTTAAAAAATTTATTCTACAACACTTTGATAACACTGACTGACTTGTTGATCACAATAACCTATTAAAAGAAGTTACCACTGAAAATCCAGGTTATTCAGTTCAAGAACTATCTGACATACTAAATATTCTGCTAAGTGCAGTTTTTCATCATTTGAAGAAAACGGGGTACAAGCTGATATGATGCACGGGTATCCCATACTTTAAAAAAAAAAAGCAGAATATGTTTACTTAAGGTTTGGCATATAATTCTTCGATAAAAAAACCACAGAAATTCCTTTTTTCAAATGGTTCATTATAGGGCATATTACAGGAGAAAGATTATGGATATGCCAAAAGAACCTCCTTTAATAAATCGAGAATCTATGCTATGAATTGTTGTCAGTAAATCCAACTATAAATTACAATAATTTCATAAAAATATTGTTCCTAAGGGGCAGTTTTAAAAGTAAAAATTGAAGCAAAGCATGCCCCATTGTTGAGGTGTTGTCTTCCATCATGACAGTGATTGATTCCAAATTTTGATGAATGTTAGACCAAGTTTGTCAGATCAGTTTGTGTCATCCCCCATATTTACTAGACCTTGTCACCTTAGATTTTAAGCTCATCAAGTCAATTCAAAATTCTTTAAATGCCCTCGAATTTATTTTGTTGGAGACAGCACCTCAATAACCTTTTTATGAATAAATTTGACTTAAAAAAAAACAGGAATTTCTAGTTATGGAAGAGATGGAAAAAAGTCATATATCAAAATGGTGCTTATACCATAAAAAAATAACACAGAATTTTCCGGATGACCCAATAACATTCTAGAAACTGGGAAAATAAATTACATTAAGCAGCACCTACTGCAATACATTAACTACCATACTGATATAAGATACATGAAAATAACACAATTCGCTTCACAATTTACATAAATACAAACCACTCTTTTAATTTAGAACAGCAGAACCTACACAGAACACATCATTTAGAATACTTACTGTTGATTGAGTATAATTCAGACATGCAGATGATAGAATATAGTTCAACATGAAAGTTAAATGCTAAAATAAGCAAAACTACTTATAAAGTACCATCTAAGTGGTTCGGTGTTTTTGTACAATTGCATCTAGCTGCCAAGAACATTCTACAAATATAAAGTTTATGAACCTAAAGCTAAGAGATAACGCCCTTTTTTGCTTCAAATAAAAACAAAAGTACGTAATAGATAAAGTTTGGGAGGTAAAATATTTCCTTCATCAGAAATTTTATAACAAGATTTTTATAATCCCAGCTGAATATGGCAGCTGTTAACGTAGACAAAATAATTGCATTCTTCAGGAAAACTTCTACTTTTATCAAAATGTTGTAATAAATGAGATTACTTAAACAGATGAGTGAACTACAGTCATACCTCCCATTAGAGAACATTCATGAAATCAAAACATTTGTCTATTATCAGGGCGTGTCTGCTAAATGGGAGCATGATGGTGTCCCACTTATAAGGGCCTAGAACTTAAGAACTATACGATAGTGAACTATTTGTTAATGAAGGCTCGACTATAATATTAAAATGCCTTCACATAAAATATTTAGTTACTATTGCATTATTGGCCCAATGCTCACAAGAATCAGCAAGCAAAGCACTAGGTCACCAAAGTAAACAACCCAGAATTTTACGAAAATGTAATTATCTGGCAACCCACTAATGGTTGCATGCACGTTACGCCAGTGCCTAATGCCACCATCTATCTTGATGGTGGTGATAATGGTTATGGTTTTAAACACTGACAGTCATGCCTGCAGTTTCTTTTTTTTTTTTTTTTGTGTGTGTGTGTGTGTGTGTGCGTGTGTGAAGTTTTTTTTTAAATTCTTGCAACGAACGAGTCTTAATTACACTGTGGCGTTTTTTTGCTAATGGAAAACAAGAGTTGAATTAAATAATTAGTTGAATTTTCAGAAATATGGTGTTTTGTCTAGTAGTACAGAGTGCAGGGATGCACAATTCTCTAATGTTTTTTGCAAATTAAAGCATTTCGATGTGTACATGGAGAACAGTGACAATTTGCTCTGCAATGCTGTTTTTTTTTTTCAAGTCAAAGCATATCGCAGTGCACATGGACAGAACACTAGAAAAAGAGAAAGTTAAGTGTTTAAAGATGTTTGTTGCATTTTTAATTTAGTTACTTTGTTGCTGTTTTATGTAATTTTGAGTGTTCTGTTATGGATGTTTGTTTTATGCACATTTGAGTGTTTCATTATGGATGTTTCTTGCATTTTTAATTTTATTTATGCATTTCTGTTTGATGTAATTTCCAGAGTGTCTCCATTTTAAAAAATTGGTTACCGTTTTATGCGTGTCAGATTGGCAACTTTGTGGAAAGGTTGAACAGATAATGCGAGAATACCAATATTTATTACTATTCAGGAGTTTTCTTATTTCCAATCCTCTTCTCTATAGTAACCATTAAAATAACTCTGGAACTTCACGAAACCTGAACATAAAATTATATTAAACATTACATAATACTAAGGTGATCAATATATATTACACTTATCTAATAATGATGAGTAATGCTCATTTGAGCAGTGAATTTTTCATAAATCTAAACTAAACTCATACCAGGCTTTCGCCTGCTGCATAAGATATCCAATTCAGGTTTGGTTTCTTAAGTTTATTTATATTTGTAAAATTTAATTCAGATGTACAAATCTAAAAATTTGTATCACAATAGTAATGAAGTATGAAATGAATAAAAGTCATTCTGCTCCAATTTATATGAAAATTTATTTTGCAGTCACTTTTTGTTGAAAACAAGTTAACAATTTTTTTTAGAATTAAAAGACACAATTCTTTTACTTCAAAAAAATTAACTTCGCTTTGAGATGCATTTTATGGTCTCACAGTAAATTAAGGATTTTATGAAAGCTGTGCTAGAAGAAAAAACACACAATTCCAAAATAGTGTGCAGTTGGGTGTGAAAAATGGATCAAAAACTGTAAAAAAATAAATAATGACAAAGCTTTTAAGTACTGTGAGCATAATTTTTAAGAACTGTAGTTATGTATAACTTATTTTTAAAGAAAGTGGCAACTATAATTCAGAATAATATTACAAATACGTGGCAATAATTAAATGAATAATAATACTGAGATGGGTGATGATGAATGGTAGAAGATACATTGTAATAATAATTAAAATCCGCAAATTAAAAAAATACTTTTGTACAGTAAAAACTGTTCTCTTCTACATTAAAAATTATAAATATGGCATATTCAATAGAATTAATTACTTTTTAATTAGATAATCTTTTACTGAATTTTTTTGGATTTCCAGTTCAGAAACTTGGGCACAGTAATACCATAGTGAGGATTCCTCAATCAAAAATCTGTGAAATAAAATTCTTAATGTGTTATAATTTATTTCATTCAAAATAAAAACTGTACAATTTATTTAAATATGTGTATTTAAGAAAAGTCAGTGAAATCTGATAAGAGTTTTTATTTTTAAACACCTTATAACTGAAAAGACTGATGATAATAAAATGATAACAAAGATGAATGATAAAAAAATATTAGATAAGAATAAATATCAACATAGAATGTATGCATACCTTCACATTTTTCTACTTGTTTTGTACAAACAAATTCTTGGGTTTCCTGTGTTTCACTAAATTTTAATTTCCAGTCATCATCATCACTTTCGTTCTCAGCTGAGATATCAATGACTTCTTTTGGTGAAGACATATTAGGTGTTTTTATATCACACAAAATCTCTTGAGTTGGATCTAATTCTGGAAGATCTTGGGTTAAATCACTCTGAGTACTGATATCTGCCAAATTTTCATTTAATGATTCATCGTTTTCTTTGGTTTCAAGTTCACCACATGTCTTAAACAATAAAACATTCATTTTATCATATTTTCCTTTTTGAAAGAATGATTAAAAAAGAAATAGACAAAAGAGAAATTTTACATGAAGAGAGAGACTAATATAAATAGAATTATTTACTTGGTTAATGTTTTTGCATGCATATTAATGATTAGATATAAATTCATGATTCATCAAAATCTGACATTTTGTTTTGTTAGGAATTTTAAGATTGAATAACTTAAAGTTGTAGTGTGAATTAATAAAAATTAACAAAATCTGACTTTATAAAGCTTTCTATAAAAAGAGCATAAAAATCATTTATTAGCAATAAAATTAAGCAGAAAAATATGCACGCTTAAAAATTTACAGATGTATTATGGCATAATGCTGTGAAAATACTGTTGCGTTATTTTCCGACACCAGTTATTACGTTATTTTCTTCCTTCACGTTCGTACGGGGTCCGTGTGGATTTGGAGTGAATAACGACGACAGCACTTGATGGAATATCGAAACACTTTATTTACCAATTTTAATCAGGACAGCTCCAAAAACACTTTTACAATCGTCAAAGATCTACTAACTATAAACATGCTGGAACAACCAGCGACACAGCTTTCACACTCTCAGGCACAGCTCCAAAAACACTTTTACAATCGTCGAAGATCTACTAACTTAAGCAGCTGGAACAATCAGCGACACAGCCTTCACACTCTCAGGCATAACTGAGACAGCTTCATCATGCAAAGCACCAGAGTATAGCTTGATTCTGCTCAGTTTTCTCCACGTACTCTCACTCTCCACACAAAACTCAGCTCGTGACACATACTCGACGGTTCAGCTGCGATGCACACCGCGATACACTAAGAGACTCTTCGATACATTCGACGACCAACTCAGTGCTAGACTTCAAGACACTTGCTCAATGACTGACTATCAGCTCGCTAGATGAGGCACACTCTCTGACTTCGGACCAGCAGAGTTTATATAGTTTTTGGCTTGTGTTCGAGAACATTCTGGGCTAAACCAATAATAATTCGTTCCAGCAGGTTCTCCATCCATCCATGGCATGTCACCAAATAGGCAATTTCTCGCCAAATGTGGCAATCCTGCCTTACCTTGCCATTTTATGGCAACCCTAAACCTGCTTTGCGGGGAAGCTATCTTACCACACCTGGACATTTCGTAACAATACTATCAGAATACATAAAAATGCAATTCAAGTGTTATCAAGTGGCAAATATTCATAGTGATTACAACCTTTCAGCAGCAAAATCTTGAACATCTTCATTTTACATAAATTATTTAGAGTTTTAAAATTTATTGAATGTTTTAATACATTAAAACCACCTTAATAGCCTTATCTTTCTTCTAAATAAATTTTTACTGTGTTGCATTATAATTTTTAGAAAAACAACTAAAAGAGTAATTATCAGTCTTTTTCTAATATGCCTTGAGCAGTGACAGAAAAAATAATTTGTAAATTATGGTAAATGCACATTAATGTTCATTAAATTTGCAAATTTACTGAACATTAATGTGGATTACCATAATTCATTAAATTTTCAAAAAATTTCATAAAATATGCAACTAATTTGCATTTAGAAAGGTGGTTTTATTGATAATTTTTTAAAGAAAATTATAATTCACATTTAAATTATACATGCAGAAAAATTTCAAAAATTCCCACACAGCCAGTCTGGATGGACTGAACTCAGACTTTAATTGTTTTAATCATACAATCAATAGGAAGTTTTTAGAAGAAGAGAGAAAAAGAAATGATAAATAATGTCAAATATGACCTAAAGAGTAATCAAGATTTAATGAACATTATTGTGCATTTATATTTTTTATTAGATAGAAGGTAATTAAAAAATATAGACCGCACAACCGGTATAGTCGCTAGCGTCGCGGGCTGTTGTGTCGAAGGGCCCATGTTTGAATCCCAGAAAAGGCATGGATGTTTGAAAATGTATAGTGTCGGTGGGGCATGGCGGAACTCTAAATATGGAGCAAGCCAAAAAGTGTGTGTGTGGGGGGGCAATTTCGTGGGCTTGCACTACTATGTCAGATATGTGAGTATAAGCACCAACAAAAAATATAGCTAGTAATGGCTTACAAAATAAGAATAATTTGAACATTTATAAGAGATTATTAATTTTGCTCTTGATTATGGGTGGAACATTTCACAGATTTTTGCAGCATACAGCTATAATTTTTTAATTTAAACATTTATTGTGCAGAACATATCAACTTACCTTATTATTTCTATGTAGGAAATATGTATGTGCTTTCTCACTAAATTATTACTTTTGGTATCTTTTAATGGCTCAATTTATTGATTGCTTGATTGTAATAAATTTTAGGAACATCGGGGAAAAAAAAATTAAAAAGACTTCCAATGCTATCAAATTTGCTTGTCTTTAAAATGCAGAGCAAAATCCTGTTAGCCTAGACTAGTGGGTGTAGAGTCATAGATTGCTAAGTAAGAAAGACCACTGAATGTTGATGACCCAAACTTAAAAAACTGGTAGTTCAACCTCAGTTCAATTCCCACGAAATGAACTGGCTGTATGGGAGTTTTCATGGTTTGACAAATGTGTAATGTGGATATGAGCCAGTTTTCCTTTAAGTTTTCCATGAAGGCAAACTTCTCTATAAACCCTCAAGTTGCTTACCTTAATCAATTAATATAATTGAATACTGGTCATTCATCCCCCACTGTAAATTCAGTGTGTAATACTTTTATGCTTTTCCAAAATGAATTAAAAAAAAAAAATTAAGCATTCTTCTCAGAAAGAGTTCTATGTAGATATCCCTACTAAATAGATCACCCTTGAGCACTTCATTACAATAGACAACAACTAAATCTTGCGAACTAGCCCTTATTTGTTTTTATTTACACACACACACACACACACACAAAAAAAAAAAAAAAAAAGTCAACAAACTAAAATAATGACTATTCCTACACACAATATATTCAAACCAATTTCTATTCCTTCCACAAATAACAAATAAATAAATAAATAAATAAAAATAAATAAATAAATAAATAAAATTAAGTTAAAAAAATTGAAATACATGTTTACACAATAGATTAGGAATAGTTTTTGGAACCAATAATTAAATTTTATTTTGCACCATTATTTCAGTTAAGCAGAGTTTTATTGCATTTGATTCATACCAAGATTTTGATATGCCTTTTGAGAAAAGGCTTGGAAAGCAACAGAGGCAGTATAGTAAGGGAGTAGAGAAAATGAATTAAATTTTCTTGCTTACTTCTTCAAGAATAGATATTGTGGAATCATTCTTCTTATCAGATACAAAACTTTCATCTTGATCTGAAACATGAATGAACATAAGCAAATCATCCTAAAGAACTTTTTTTTTTTTTTTTTTTTAAATTCAAAATAAATAAGATCAGACATACATTTTTCTGCTATTGCCGGAGTGCTGGGTATTAACATATCTGGAGTTGGAGGAATCATCATTGAACTAGAAAAAGAAAATGAATAATTTATATATATACAGTTAGAATTTTTTTTTTGGGGGGGGAGAAACTTAATGTAACTTAATATTTGCTGTTATTTAACAAATTCATTAATGAATTTTTATGAAAACTCACAAAAATTGGTTCTTATAAATTAATACAACCACCTTGATGCAATCAGGCATGCATCCGATACTTTAACAGATGAAAATGAATAATGAGTCATCATTCATCAATCAATTCATTTGCAAAAATGTACTTATTGCATGTAAGTATACACAAATATTTTATACTCTAAATACGTATTTATTCCAAAAATCAATCAATAAACCTACTTATTAGCTGGTTTTTATTACTTTCCCTCTGGTGGAAATTTCACAGCATTTACTTTAAAAACAGATTCAATACAACTGTTTCCTTTAGCGATCGTATGATAAAATACTGTATTCCTGCAAAAATTTGACCACGGTTTCCACCAGTACATATTTTAAAATTCAGACTAAAGCAAAAACATCCAGATTCGTCAATAAAAACCATTGGAATTTAAAATGCAACAAAATGAATATATACAAAAATGGTGATGTTGCTTGATATTGCTCATAATAATCCAAGGATTATTATGAGCATGGTTGCCTGAAGAATGGTTATGTGCATGATTGCCAAATTTCACCACATTCTGCAAATCTGATGATTTCTACCAAGGTGGTTATGATAATACATAAAAACCCAAAGTGTGATTCTAAAAAATTAATTTCTTACATACTATACACAGTTTTACCATTCTTACTGCCAAGATATAAAACCTGGGATTTAAATCCATTATAACATGATATTAACACAGTAAAAAATCTTTAATCCGGACGTCCATAATCAGGAATGAACTATAATCCAGAACTCAAAGCTACAAAAAAAAAAAAAAGCTTTCTGCGCATGCGTTTACATGTGCCCATAATACGTTTACGCATGCGCATTTAATGTATAACGGACAGTATAAGCTAAGCTAAAATTATCCAATTATCTATTTTAGTTAATGTTGCAGATTGCATTGTTCCTTAATCTTCTAATTGGATCCGGCTTATTATTTTTTGCAGACTGTTAGAGCAATTTTACAAAAGTAAGCTTGAACTTTCTATCATGTCAAAAAGAATTTCCGATTCTGGAGCTGCCAAAGAATCTACAAAGCGAAAGCATATTTCGATGTCCATCAAACAAAAAGCGGAATTGCTGCAAAAAATGGATAAAGGCATATCCTTTCTTTCTCTAACCATTCCGAAATCTGTTTATCAATTTCACCCTGCTCTGCAGGAGGGGAGCGGGGGAATAAGCTGGAAGTTGATCTGTCAGCACTATCCCTATCTTTTTATATTTTATTCCGCTTATAATTCCTCACTAAATGTAGTATTTCATCTCGATGTACTTCGTCTTTGATATGATTTAAATCAAATACCATGTCATTATAAATATCACGAATACACATCAAATAGTTTTCTGGCTGCAATTTTCTAATTTCGTCTATGCGTAACGTATGCTTTATGCAAGCGGGCGTTGAAAGAAATGATTACTAAAGTAAACAAATAAATATTAAGCTTTTTTTTTTGTAAATTTTGATATCCTTTAGATCATAATTGCTCTTTATTTTATAAATTACAGTTTCATATTTTTAATTTTATAATTTCTGCATGCCATCTTACCAGATTTAAACTGACGATCTATAATCCGGAATCGCCGAAGCCCCGACGAGTCCGGATTAAAGACTTTGACTGTATTGTAATGGTGAAAAATTTTGGGTATCACATTTCAATGAAAATATCCATTCTGACTGCTATCGAATGCAATTTAATTATGGTTTACGTGACATTTGTACGTAAGGACAGAATAAAGGACTCGTTCCCCCCCCCCAAAAAAATTATAAAGATTCTGAAGAGATTTTTTTGTGGCGTCTCTACATACGTACAAATTTATCTCACATAATTTAAAAACGAGCAGCCTCAGAACGTTTAAATTTTGTACATAGGACTCCGGAACATGTAGATGTGCACCTCCCATTTTGGTTGTAATCCACTGCACCAAAAGTATATACAGTACGAAGTCTGTAATCCGTACGTCCATTATCTGGAATGATCTATAATCCGGAACTCAAAGAGACAAACTTTTTTTTTGTATGCGTAACGCATGCGCATTTAATGTATAATGAACGGTATAAGCTAGGCTAAAATTATCTTTACTGATTCTAAGGCATTTCATTTAATGTTACAAAACGTGCTGTTCCTTAATCTTCTAATTGGATCCAGCTTATTATTTTTTGCAGACTGTTAGAGCAATTTTATAAAAATTAAGCTTGAACTTTCGATTATGTCAAAAAGAGTTTCCAATTCTGGAGCTACCAAAGGATCTACAAAGCAAAAGCATGTTTCGATGTACCACTTCCGATAGTCAAGAAAAGTGACAGAGAGGTTACTGAAAACAAAAAAATTTCGATTGACAAGTTAGTCGGTATTCTCGAAACAGCAATTACAGGACTTGAACAGTGGAAATTTGTAACCGAACAAGAAATTATGTCTGTTTATAGAATTAAAGAGAAAGTATTAGCACAAAAAAACAAAGCAACTTAAGCAACTTACATTGAAAGAAATGTTTAATAAAGTAAACAAATAAATATTAAGCTTTTATTAATAAATTTTGATACCCTTTAGATCATAACTGCTCTTTATTTCATAAATTACGGTTTCATATTTTTAATTGTATAATTTCTGCATGTCATCTTACCAGACTTAAATTGATGATCCATAATCCGGAAAAACCCCTAATCCAGAATCGTTGAAGTCCCAACCAGCCCGAATTACAGACTTTGTACTGTATATATACCTATATATCCGCTGTGTTACTCTGCTCAGTGAGCTCAATTTCTTTATTCTTATATGTTTGTAAATTGTGCATATTTTGTTTTAAAAATTTATTTTTTGCTATTTATGTTGTTCTGGTTAAGATTTTAATGCCTTTAGTTAACACAGGGTTTGTAGCCAAATTTTAGTTAAAAAAAAAAAAAAAAAAAAAAAAAAAAAACACCTATCTAACTACATTACACACAACTGCATAACCTTAAAAGAAAAATTAGACTTGCAATTTAAAATATGAAAAATGCAATATTTATTAAGTGAGAATGAGCATTACCTCAACCATGGGAAAAAATTACCCCCTTTTTTTTTTATTTTCAAATAACAGTTCAATTTACAGAACTAGTTTACAATGAGAGGGAAAAAAAACTATGAAGAACTAAACTATATTACAAGATTTAATGATGAAACGCCAGTTCAAAATATAGGAAATAAACAATAATAAGCCACATATATTGTATTCGCTTGGCACCTAATAATGAATACATTTTTTTCCCACTCACATTAATACTTAAATAACTTCTTCTGAACATTCTGAAAAATTCTGAACATTTTCTAAATTTTTATTACATAACAGTTTTTCCTGCAAGAATAGTAATTTAAGTAAAAAAGAGGAACATTTCTGAAATCAGAAGACGGGAAATTGCTTCGTGCAGTCATCTTTTAACAGTAAAAGCTTAACTAACACAAATACTTGGAAATTACCAAATATTCCAGATAGTCGAGCGTAACTGGGAAAAGAGGAGCCGGGGGTGGGGGTAGACTGTAGCCATTCTTAAGATTTTTCGGCTAAATAAATGCTTCTGACATTTCAATATGTGCATCATATAAAAATAGACCAACGGAATTGAAAAATATTCTGCTTAACAAGCACAGTTAAAATCAAAATTCTCTGCAAAATATCGCAAACGTTATTGTGCAATAAGTGCGCCGTAATTCTTCTGTACATGATACTATGCAATTGGAATCAGCAGCTGTCAGTATTCAGAAAATAAAGAACTAAATAAAGGAAAAGAAACAAACTTACTAATCTGGGGTGTTTTTGATTCTAATTTTGAACAGACTGCGTTAAATTTCCGGAATAGAAGCATTCTTCGCTTGGGTTGGTAGACCACAGAACTTTTAGTCCTATTCAATCCAGATTGGAAAGTGAGCAAAAAAAAGTCCGTTGCTTGTTTTGCAGCGAACTGTAACGGTTTCAATATTCGAGATTTTGTGGAGAAAGGAGAGAACCTCCCAACCTCTGTACTGTATAATGTATTGGGGAAAAAAAAAAAAAAAATTACTATTCGATTACTTTCCTTTTATGTAAGCCATTCTGAATATTAATCCTTAGAAAGCTAATCTGTGTTAAAACACACTTACCCATCTTTGGAAGTTTATCTATACTTCAGCAGTTACTGCACCTATATTATTATAAATATTCATTATGCTCATAACATAAGCAAAACGATCATAATAAATAGGAATATGAACTGACCACGCGGAGCGAGAATGCAAATTATCAATATCTTGGATAAAAATTCAAATGTATGTAGTATTTGGGTGGGAGAAAAAGAATACCGAACGTACCAGAATTTTCTACCACTTTCGCAATTCTTTGACCAATAGAACGACGCGCACCTGTCTGTATTCTCCGCGCACACCAGAGATTATGTTAGTACAGAGAAAAGGGGAAAAGCTATTTCCATGAGTGTGATTCACCACCTGATGTTCCATATCAGGGAGAAAAGTCGTTTGCTTAGTTTCGGCTTTGGTACAGGGGAAAAATGTGCATTCATTTAAAAAAAAAAAAAAAAAAAAACTAAAAACAAAAAAACAAGGGCTTTAAAGAAAAAGTAAAGACCTATAAGGGCATTTATATTTTATTTTCAAATACAGTCAAAAGTCGTTAATTTGGACACCCATAATCCGGAATGATCTATAATCCGGACCTCAAAGCTACAAACTTTCTGCGCATGCGTTGCACTGACGCATGCGCATAGGCGTTTACGTGTGAGCGTAAGACCTTTACGGCTGCAAATTGTTGGCTTTAGTTTTCCACATGCAAATTTTGATCGGAGGTAAGCTAACGTGGTTGCCGCCGATTGGCCGATGACGTCAAGATCGGC